ATTTTGGCTATCTCCCTGTTTGGGGAGGAGCCAGACCCCACCCAATCCCGCCCTCCTCCCTCCCCCCCAATAACCCCACTACCACCAGAGGGCAGACCTGGAACAAAGCAGAGAAGCAGCCATTGAAATAAGACATCCATAACACCATAAGGAAGTGAAGCACTTTTGTTTATTAAAGCACCAAAGACAGACTCCGGTGTGTTCCCCCGGCAACAAGGCTCCTTGAGTCTTTGACACGGTCTGAAACAAGACATGAAAAAGATCAACATTAGTGACACCTCAAAGACAGCGTGTGAGAAAATTTCCCCCTTTCCCACAGCATTGAAGTGAAAAATGCCTGTTGACAAAAGAGGGAAGAAGAGTAATAATCTTAAACCTGATAGTCAAATTATTTTGCATACTTGTCAACAATTGGCTTTTTCACCAGCCGAGATTGAGACGCCAGGCAACTCAACACTTTATTTTCAAAATGCCCCATTCATTAAAAAAAAAATAGCAAGGTGGAAGACTGCACAGTTAATTTCGAACAACATACATTTCCCATCACAGGTAAAACTCTGGGCAAGCACAAAGTTCTTTTCCTTAAACACTTAAAATGAGTCTGTAGTCCTCAACTGTTAACATGCAGGCTGTTTGGAAATGCACATAAAAGCTAGGCAAGAAATGTGCCACCATAGCCAAAAGCACTTCAAATCTGACCAGGTTCAACACGGAAATCCCTCAGACACGTATGAACGATATAGCAGGATGACAGCTGTCACAGAGGCCTCTCTCTTTTGCCACAAACTGAAGAATCAGTCTGGCAAGAGCTTTGTGATTCTACAGGAGTTTCTTTTTCTTTTTCTTTTTCTACAGAACCAAACCAAGAACTTCCAGGCCAGGAAGACTATACCAACATTAGTTTTTTGCTGTAACTGTGTGGAATAATCTCTTACCTGGCTTAAAAGGTCTTGGGAATCATGTTGCTTCTCTTCGTGGTGAATCAAGCTTCAGGGGTGGGCTGCTCAACACTTTCTGCACCTTGAGAGGCAAAAGTAAACAGGGTGAAATTAAGGCAATGACCTCCATGTCATACCTGCTTGTTCCCAAGCTGAAAGAGTCCTCATGCCCTCACCCAAGGAAACACTGTTTCCACTTTAACAAGTGAAACTTAAAAACATTACACTAAAAATAAACATGTGGCTACAAAACCACTTCAAGCGCCTGTTTCTCTTCAATTATTTCCCATAATTAATGCATATTGTGGTCTGACTGGATGGCAGAACACATCCTCATATCACTATAGATACACCATAATATTCTATGTAATAGCAGTAATGTTAAAGTTCTTTACCTTCAATTATTTCTTAAGAGCAATATAACTTTTGGGGGTCCTGCTATTTCTAAAACCAAAAACACAAAACATATGCCTGGTTTCAAGAAAGCAAACCAAGAGCACAATGAGAACACTTACCGGCTGTGGAAACAGAGTGAATCCCGCTGGAATGAGGCTTCAGCAACGGGCAGGCCGTGGCAAAACTGGACTTGCAGCAGTTGTGTTCATCAAGTACTGGCTCTCTTTGTTTAGGGCAGAAGACAACACATGCCATTTAGCATGCAAGTCTTACACAAAACATTTCAAGAGCTCTTTTACCCAGTTCACATGTACTGTTGCTCTGCATTACAGTCAATAAATATGATGCTTTTCTTCAGAATGTGTCAATAAAGAACTGCTTCTTAAAATACCAACATGATTTCACATGGACATGAAGCAGTGTCTCAAAGTGATGCATTTGGCGGGTAAGAAGAGAAACAATGGTGCACAGACAAGTCACTGATTCATGGCAAGATGAGTCCAGACCAATTCAGGTGGCTACAGCCAAGTGCAATATTGAGGATATTTAATCATCACTGCCTGTGCACACCCGGACCCGGGGTGCTATCGGCATGGAGTTTGTACCTTATCC